GAATGACCCTCTGAAAAAAGAATTGAGATCCTTTTTTTCGGTGAGATAATATCAATGCGCTCAAATCAAGAGCTTTGCATTTCGGCAACACTCAATCCTGTGATTTGTAATGGTAATGGCCTGAAACTATGGGACATTATTGAGGATTTTCAAGAATCCTTGTTACTGACCCAGTTTCACCAAGCAGTTGGCAAAGCTCCCTCAGATCTTTGTTTATAAGGAGCCTTGTAGTAATGACCCTTTTCTCTTGTTAGGATTTATGAAACTGCGTTAACCACACCTAGAGTATGCATCTTCAATGGAGTCCTTGTTCAAAAAAATCGAAGAACTCGGAAAAGTGTAAAGATCTTTTGCACGAGTTGTGTACAAGGTACTCCTAAAATGCTAACAGTCTCCGGCTTACTGGCACTGAAGCTGCCGAGCTTGATGCACAGGCGAGTATGCAGATGCTTACGCTTCATCAGGCTTGAAACCAGATTAAAACCAGGTAAATGTCAAACTTTTAGAACTTGTGGCGATTGCGGACCTGGTTTGGGATATCGGAAATGGAAAGCAGAAAATACCACTCGCTTCCAATTCTTTCATATAGAGTGCTGCAAGTGGTTTGAGTTTTTTTTTCTAGAGAGCTAAATTCCTCTAACAAGGGAAGGATACTGGTCACCGCGGTCATTCATAATGATTTGTATATCAAAAAATGCGCCTTTTGATGCTGTCTTCCATGTCTGCGAAGCGACAATCTGGATGGAGTTATGATTATTTTTCCATGAATAGACTGTGTTACTGCGGAAGGTAAAATCATCAATAAAAATTTTCTTTCCCATAGGTATAATACAACAGTATTCCTTTTAACATTCTCTTTAAATGGTAATTTAGAACAAATATGGTGATTTTAACTACACAAAAATACGCAAATTTTCTACGAAAAAAAAGTTCATAACTTTCTGCAGAAGATCGTTTCGCAGATATCGAGCACAGACCTGGAATCCGCGTTTCGAGGTGCATCTTACAGTATACATCGCATTCCAAATGGCCATGGTGGCCGAGTATCCTTTCCTTGTAAGAGATCTGCAATTTTGCAAAAAATTCACAAGAATCGGTTTTTCAGCCTTATAAATCCCTGAAGGTTGGAAAGGCTAGCGTTGTCAACAAAATAGCACAGTTCAGCTTGACGCTTTTTGATACTCTCTTCTATTCTTAGGAAATTTAACTACAATTTTAGCGAACTTTGTTTTCTACCTTTTACAACCAGCCTATCCTTTGAGGAAAGTTGAAGGATTTCTGGGGGAAAAACCCGGGATTTACACTCGCTTCTCTTTGCATGGAAAGCTGTTCAAAGGTCCTGAAAGTTGGCGCTCCCTGGCCGTCCTCCTTGTTTCACACTCAAGGTCCCCCCGCGGATTCGTGCGCCCTGAGTTAAGTTGGTCACCTTGGTCACCAGCACCTAGTAAGTTCGGCCTTACTTGCGTCTGGGTTTGGGATAAGGGTCTAGGCAAGGTTACCTCGCCTTTCAAAGTGGAAACTTGAAGTCCCAGGCAAAGGACGAACTGAGGATTGAGCAGACGATTCACATTTCTCTCGTGTTGATATTTCTATGACTTGCATGATCTTTTTTGGTGTTTTTCATACTTTTCCTTGCATATATATAACTAAATAAACGATTGGTAAAAATTTAGATCAAAATTTAAATTCTAATTACCACACAACCGGTTTCGGCGCTAGGAACTATACAATAGTTTAGCTTCCTTAGTGGTAAAATATTGAACGAGATGTAGGGCGCTCATGCATAGCGAGTTCATGTATATCGTCAATAACAGATTTGAAAATAGAGAGCTTTAGCGGACACGCCTCACTACAATACCAATCTTGGCTTGAAACTCTTCAATCGTAACCCAGCATCCTGCTATAGAAAAAGATGAGAAGAACTGCTCTCAAAAGCGACAGGAGACATTCGCCCATATCGGTGTAAGCTGGACGCCCGCAAGTGTGCGTCCAACGCGGCTGCCGAGTGCGGGCACTATGATGACTCATGCGTGCAAATGCCAATGTTAGCCCGCACGAGACACGCTCGCGGGCGCTCAGCCTGGGCGATTCCTTGCAGTTAACTAACCAAGCCAACCGTCTGGCGTGTAGCGAGATTCGCATTAATCCAGCGTGGGTTTGCGGCAAGCACATCGACGAAAGCTGCTTGATATGCCTGCAAGGCGACAGTGGGTATATTTGAAGCCGAACCGTAGGAAACCACAACAGTTCTACTGCTAGAGATAGAGACAATTTCCCTCAGTGTAGCATCGTTGAGAGATAGCCAGCAGGATTATACACGCTTGAAAAATCCAGGACAATGTGAAAGAATACAGTACGTATCAAATGACTCGTAAGAACCGAAAATGAATTGCGAACTTTGCAGCCGGGTATTCAATACAGTCATATCATAACACTAATCAAACACAATCTATGACTTAATAATAACGGGCTAAGGGTTGTTTACGTCTGTTTGTCTGTCTGTCTGTGTGTACGTCTGTCTGTCACGAAATTCGTAGAGCGTGCTCCAGCAAACGTTCTAAGCCCAAATTTTGCATAGCGCATGCTACCTTCATGGAAGCCCAATATGCAAAAGCACGATTAGATTCGTTGAGTGGATCCCTCAGAAATTGCGCGCCAAACGGATCCACCTGGCTTCTGTGCCGCAAAATTCGGTCCGTATCACCACTTTTTCAGAGTCGTGGATGAGTTTGGTAAGCAAATGTGCAAGCGATGGAGTTTAGCTAGAAAAGTGCTTGAAAGTTTACTACATAACGAAAGCGGCGCCAAAACGAATTGGTTGTGTAAATGGTCAATTTGCCAAGGTTCTAGCTAAGCGTTTGAGAAGATTTTCGCACAGAGATGTAGCTCACGGTTATAATTACCTTCATGGCGACTACCAAATAATGACAAATCCAAAAACCTATTCAAATTTGCGTTTGTGTTCCTGCGAAAAGTTTCATCCATGCGAAATCACCGATCTCACGTGAAAATACTTTCTAAATGAGTGGTTGTTTACATTTTATTCGCAGTAGTCGGCATAGCGCGGTGAGTTCCAGTGCCATGATTTTACGAGGATGAGAAAGGCACATAGATAGTAGAGCCAGTGCGAACCTCTGCGAAGCAGAGGTGACGCACTGGTAGACACATAATGACATGTCATAGAAACAAAGAAAACAGAGCCATGATAGATTTTACACAAGATTCATTTACCGGCTTCCTATGTTTCCCCACCCAAACCCTTTGTAATTCTGCACTTGCAGTGCACTGCGCCTTACCTTTCAGGCTTGACGTAGTCATCGGGTTGATGTAAGTGTTTCGTCTCTAGTCCTAACACGCAAAATTTAGTCACTATGGACTTGTTATAGAGGAAGTTTGCTTGGGCGCAGATAAGAAAAAGTGATGTACAAATAAGTTATACGATAAGCATACATATTTTTTTGTTGCATATTGCTCAACACTTGATTACTGAGAATGTCGTCATTACTTGATTTCTTCGCCTTTTCTCCGATACCACCTTCAAATGACTTTAGCTTCATCTATTCCATAAAGCGCATACGTAAAGTGATTATTACTAACCAGTGCGTCACCTCTGCTTCGCAGAGGCTCGCACTGCCCTACTATCTTTGTGCCTTACTCATTCTCGTAGAATTGTGGCACTGGAACTCACCGCGCTATGCCAACTACCACGAATAAATTTCAAACAACTATCATTTAAAAAGCTTTTTCACGTGAGATCGGTGATTTCGCGTGGATGAAACTTTTCACAGGAACACAAACGCAAATTTGAATAGGTTTTTTGAATTTGCCATGGCTTGGTAGCCGCCATAAAGGCAATAGTAATCGTGAGCTACATCTCTGTGCAAAAATCTTCTGAAATGTTTGGCTAGAACTTTGGCAAATTGACCACTTACGCAACCAATTCTTTTTGGCGCCGTTTTTGTTTTGTAGTAAACTTTTGACCATTGGGCTAAAGTCCATCGTTTGCAAATTTGCACACACCCACCCACGACATTGCAAAAAGTGGTGGTACGGACCCAATTTTGCGGGACAGAAGCCAGGTGGATCCGTTTGGCGCGCAATTTCTGAGGGATCCACCCAACGAATCTACTCGTGCTTTTGCATGTTAGACTGTTATGAAGGGAGCATGCGCTTTGCGAAATTTTGGCTTACAGTCTGCTCCAATCGGGATCAGGCCGAACCGTCGGCGTAAATTTGCGCGCTCGCAGCGCTAGCAGTCTGCGCTGCATATGCGCGCCGTCGGAGAGAGCAAAAGGATTGCAGAGAGAGCAGAGAAGCAGGCCGTGGGCGTGACCGCGAAAAGCTAGCAACGCGGACTCCCGCCATGCCAATTTTGGCCTGGTTGGGATTGGGGCAGACTGTAGAACACTGGCTGGAACACGCTCTGCGAATTTCGTAACAGACGGACACACACACACACACACACACACACACACACACACACACACACACACACACACACACACACACACACACACACACACACACACACACACACACACACACACACACACACACACACACACACACACACACACACACACACACACACACACACACACACACACACACACACACACACACACACACACACACACACACACACACACACACACACACACACACACACACACACACACACACACACACACACACACACACACACACACACACACACACACACACACACACACACACACACACACACACACACACACACACACACACACACACACACACACACACACACACACACACACACACACACACACACACACACACACACACACACACACACACACACACACACACACACACACACACACACACACACACACACACACACACACACACACACACACACACACACGTAAACAACCCTTAGCCCGTTATTATAAGGTCTTGATACCAGGCTTGCAGAATCATGGTGCAGAATTTATTCTGAAAGAAAGAAGATGATTCTGCAAATTAGCGTCAGTCTAGGAAAGCCCGCAAAAAGGTCATCAAATAGAATTTCTAAAACCCCATGGCAGCTCCAGGTTGCTTGGATAAAAGGAAAGAACTGTTTATGATAAGAACAAAATTTCTACATTTAATTTGCTTATTGCCTTTCTGAGAATTTGAAGATCATTTGAAAGTTTCATAACTATGCACAATACTGCTTTCCTAATCTTTGCTTTGATTATGGAAGCTTGAATAGACCTCTCAAAGCATTCCTCACTTCCTCAGCTGCTTCAGGTGGAGAAGTGACCTGAAAAATAAGTTGTAGTGACGAAAGATCATTGACTATCTTCTACCTTGATTGTTGTTATTCCCAAAGCTCTCGCCGCTTTGAGATTGATTCCGAGATCATCGAGAAACATGCATTGTTCAGGTTTCAGCTGCGAAAATGTATATATACGACAGCAAGGTCAATAGAATAATTCAGATCAATGCGCTTTGAGCAATTATCTGAATAGCACTAACAAAGGGTGCTTTGAGTACAATTTTCCTTATATTTCAAGATTTTTATAAACTTCAAGATTTTTATAAACTTTTGTGTCTTTTTGATCCTATGGAATGGACGGAATGAAATAAAAATATGGGAACGAACCTGTAGCTGACCGCATACGTGTAAGTAGATAGCATCTTCCGGCTTCCGCATACCAGCCCTACATGATTCTACCATCACGTCAAAATAATTTTCAATCCCCTTTGGAACTGTTGGTATAAGTCGAGCTCGGTCGGCATAGAAATTATTTGTAAGAAGAGCTGTTTTGCAGCCTGCTGATCGTAAATCCTTAACATTTCTTAACCTCAGCAACCACAGCAATGACTCAGATACAGATGTGTGTCTTTACCTTTAGTAAAGCGGCCATTTCTGGAATAATTTTGGTATTGTAAAGTCCTTTAATGATGGTCGAAAACATTGGAATGTGCTCTTCACTGCGTCCATACTAAAGAATACAAATTAATAAAAGAATGGAACTAATAACGGATGGGGGGGGAGGTGCATCTATTAAGGAATGGTAGGCGTCTTTTGGACTTTCTCGTCTTTTCTGACAGCATGAAATTTAGCAAAAGTTGGTCATTGCGAGAGACGAGAATGAAAATACCTAATCGTATTACGAGTGAAACATCAAATCTGCCGAATTCTACCCGCCTTTTTGTTGTAATACTGTGTGAAAAGTGGATCAAAATCTTCCGCGGTCGTTTCACCTCTTTCCAGTGCTTCAAAATGGTCTCTTACTGGTGGAGTAAGCAGAGCCCTCATTAGAGAGCCTCTGTCGAATTCCAGTTTCTTTTCCATAGCTGAAAGTGAACTATATAGGAATGGAGCACAGAATAGATTTGATTTCTTCCAGTGCTGAACCTTGTTAGTTAGATTATGGACTCAAAAGATTTGACTTACATCTGAATAATGGTTTTGTAGGTCCTGCAAGATTATGTTTCTCATTCAGAATAATACAATATCTAGGTTCATTGATGTTATGTACCTCTCCAAATCCCGTAGGGTGCTTCTATCAACACACCTCCCATATCGAATATGACTGCTTTGATAGACATATCTGAAACCTTAGAACTGCTCAACAGAAGCAATAAGGTAGTATAATGCTAAAAGTTCAAGGTAATGCGATAAAACTGTGCACTGACAAGGATGCGATTGCAAGAACTGCATTGTTTCCAGATTACGTGACTGCAGTGAAGAGCTGTCAATCATAAAATGAAATCCTACTATTGCCGTGACTGCAGTGATAATTATTGGCCTGGTCGATAGCACTTCTTCTTTGATGAATGGATCACAAGTCTAGGTAGACAATGACTAGTAAGGGAAATAGGAAAAGAGAATGATGAGGAAGTAGATCTTTATTTGAGCGGCAGACCCCTGGCATACCGCAATTTCATTTTGGCCACTTGCCAGATTCGTCAAAACCAACATTGACAAACTACAAAAGCACAGTGTGTATAAATCTGTAGATTAGAAAGGCTTTATTTTTTCTACATTTAGAATGCCCCTACGATGAGTTATGAGCAGTTGTATTGCCAGGTTTCATCTAAAATCGTTCAGGTATGCCCGGTTCGTATTTTAACATTGTGTACCAACTGCTTACGCACCTCGCTCACAGACTAGATGTCAAAAGGGCCGGACATACTTAACGCAATTTCAGTCGCGACGCGATTTGGCAATTTACCAAAAGCCTTCAGATCCAACGCTAACAATTTGCACATGCATAGTGTGTGTAATTTACGTGGATTGGTGAAACGCCCTATCTTCTGTACATTTGAAATGTGCTTACACTGAGTTATGGACAGTTGGAATATTGCCAAATCGCGTCGCGACTTAAATCGCGTGAAGTATGCCCGGCCCCAAAGGCAGTTTCCCCATAACTTGATTATCGAGATTTTTGATTATTACAAGCCTTTTCGCTGTTCAATCCACTGCGGGTCCAAAATCGCATAAAATATACGAAAAGCACCTTTAAAAATTACCTAGTGGAAGCCACGCGGACGAGTTACGCATTTTTATTTTAATCTCGCCACAGTAGCACCAACACCATGGAGGTGGAAGTCAAGTGAGGGGCATGTTGGAGCGCGTAAGCCCAACGGATCATTGGCCAGTGCGGGCCAAATCGCACTATGCGGGCCAGCCAGGGTCCGGCACAGATCGTATGGAAACGAGCTGGACTTTGTTCTTTGGGCAGAAAAGCAAAGGGGATATCGTTTTCGTGGCCGAAAAGACGCAAAAAATTTTGACTTTTTTCAGTCGATGTTTCGTTTTTCAAGGTTTTTTTACGGATATGGTTTGGAGTCAGGGGACTTCGTAAATTTTGGCGAAAGTCGAGGACTTCGTTTTCAAAAAGCCTAGAAACGGACTCATACCGGGCCCTGGGGTCACCTCTCTGCGTAAAAGAGCAAAGGGCCAAGTAGGACTCGAGTAGGACTCGGATCGATCGCCTATCTAGGGGGGGGGGGGGGTTCGCTAACAAAATTTGTGGAGACTCGCACTCCCCAGTTTTGGTGAGTCACTACCTTTGAATACTGAAGTCCTTTCCTTTGCTTGCAGATTAGTCCTCCAATTGAAATTTGGTCTCAAGTACAACTTAGACGAGGCGATGGCGGAAATCTCTTAGGTTATCCCATTACTGTTGGTCCTTAGATTTCAAATCAGAGCTCCATAATTTAGTTGAATACTTATATTGCAAGATAAATTGAATCGCATCGTCTACTTTAGAACTCTATTCATGTAGCTCAATCCAATCATGTTAACGAACACTCTAATAAAAACCAATGAAGACGGAATCTGTACGTTTAAATTAGCTGTCTTAATTTTATTAGTGAAGGGAATTCAACCAGAAGTTCCTATTTTGTGTGGTCACAACTCAGACAATCGGCTGAGGGCAGGCGAGCTTCGAACAAATAGAACTGATTCCTTGAACTGCATTTGCAAATTTTAGGAAAGTGGCAGGCACTTTTAAGGAGGCCGCTTGTCGAAGACTTCTTAATTAAAAAAGCAATCTATTCGCGATAGGTTAAAGCGGTAAAGACATCAACAAGCGGTCTTGCAAGAAGTCTTAGACCAACTTTTAGAGACACTAGCGAAGAGCGAGTTAGCAACCCGCACTTTGCCTAGGCCCTCTACTCCGGATTGTGCAAGAATCCGGTACACGCGAATAGCTATGCAGAACACCTTTCCTTTCCAAACTGTGACCTCCTAGAAGTTATCATATAAATCTAATCGCCATCATTTAAAAGATCTAGGAAGCCAGCTTCTACGCACGGATAGAGTCCTTTGCTAATGCTCTCTTTGTAAACGCTAGCTTAACCGCGGCGTTAGTTTATACTCGGCATCCGAGTTCTCTGCTTTGACGTAATTAGTAAAAGCTTCAGGTATGTCTTGCTATGCCTATGCTATCATGGGTAGACCCCTCCTATCAAAGTTCAAGTCGCACTACGCATGAAAATTCTTCAATTTGAGGCATTTCTGACATGAGTCCGCGCAAGGGCTAACAATCGAAGCGAAACATATTGAGAGCATGCATAAAGCTTCCTTAAATAATTGGCTCGTGGACTATTACTACGAGTACCCTTTGATCCAACGGATTGGCGGCTGGAAGGTGGAGCTTCGCGACCTAATTAAGTTTAGCGAATGATCAGAGAGCACTTCCGCGAGAAAGACGCAGACTGCGTTGCGGGCGCGAGCGGTCACCTTCCGGCCGCCAATCTCGTTGAATCAAAGGATACCACTAATTTTGAAAATGCAAACGACCTGTCAGTTTGGTAGAAATTCTCTGTTACGTAAGTTATGCACTTTTGAGTCGGCGTTTGCGAAATGGTGAGAAATAAAAAATCTTTTGAATATTTGGGTTCCAAAGTAAAAACAAAGAGGAAAAAGCGTCTTTCAATCTACGGAATAACATTGGAATATATCACATACAGTAGATACAAGCAATCTATCCTATCTGTACTTGCAGGACAGATGAGCGTACATCCAAGAGAATTTTGGATGAATGTACACCCAAGGAAATTTATGAGGATTATGTGTTAGGATGAAAGCGTGTGCTTATGCAAGCAGAATGTACTTCCTTTTGCTTGAACATTGTCTTTCGCTATGCTAGCCGTCTCGTTTTTTTTACAAATGCTTTTACCAAATTAGTTAAAAGTTTTCATCCATTCTCTACCCATCGCACTGCAATATTTGTTGAAGAAAATGAAGGAAGCAAGCTTGCATTTCTATCAAATTCGCACATCTTTCATGATGTTAAAATATATTATCGTACGTCTGGAACAAATGTTCGGTACCACATGGGACTACTTGTCCTATACATAGCTGGCAATGCTATCCCTATTCGCAGCTTTGACGCTTCTAAAGTAGTAATAGTTCCAATAATCTATTTTACAGCACATGATGCATCTGCCAACCTGTGATGAAGCAGAAAAAGAAATATCTTGCCCATGTGACAAAGCCATTGATCATAGCTCCGAACGCGTACATTGTAAAAAAAATTAGAAGACCAGGGAGTGTAATTTAATTCTTCTGATACAAAAGCTGATGCTTTCACAACAAAATATTCATAGTGCAAGCTGGAAATTTACTGAGGAATTTCTTGTTATAGCTGAAAACTCGATTAGACCGTGGAAAGCAGGTACACCAAACCGCAAGCAGTGTTTTCTTAAATTTCAAACAGTCATTGGAAGGTGTTATATGCACCAGCAGTCATAGCAAAAAAAGTGTTACATTTTGATTAGGTGTATCTCACTGTCCTTAAATATGAAGCGCTTTGGCGCCAAGATATTAGGATAAATTCATCAAATGAAGTTCTTCTTTCTCATACACTGCTTTAGTGTTTGTGGAGAAAAGTACCAAAAGTTTACATAATACTCAAAGGATGCTGAAATGCAGGGTGTCCCAAAAAATGTATCCACTGTTTGATTGTTAATAACTCTCTTATTGTGAGGTCTTTCGAGAACAGGTAAGCGCCATTTTGTAGAACTGGCTTCAACTTAGATTTACAGTATAGAGCGAACCGTCCATCTTTCTTCTTTACCGTAAGATTACGGTAGAAAATTGAAAGAGGGTTTTGGGCCATGAAAGGTCATATTTTGCCTCAGAAAGGAATCAAAACAGCCTGAAAACTTTTACACCAGGCCAATTAGAGTTGCTGATTCTAACTGTAAAGTTCCTAACTTATTATGATGCTTCATTGAAGAGTTATGCCAGGTAAGAGGTAGCGGCCATTTTTTCAGTGTTCCTAAAAAGTGCGGTTACACCGTTTAAGCTCCGCAATTTTGTGAATAGTTGAGTGTTGAACTCAGCGCCCATAAAAACCCTATTACACAAGTTTTCACACTTTTTGAAAAGTTTTGAAATGGCAACTTTTTCCACATTGACACCATATGTTTCAAGTTCCTACCGTAATCGTGCAGTAATGAAGAGCGGTCGGCGATTCGCTCTATACTGCAAATTTAAGTTGAAACCAGCTCTACAAAATGGCGCTCACCGCTTCTCGAAAGACCTCAAAATAAGAGAGTTATTAACAATCAAACAGTGGATACATTTTTTGGGACACCCTGTATGTACTTGATTGATTTGTGGAGGGAGGGGCTTAAGACAAACTGTTGACTCTTCACTGTTTAGAATGCAATTTCGAAAAGCATCGGCTCTGGCTTATTTCACTGACTTTCACACATCTTCAGCGTTGACTGACAAGGTTAAAAAGTTCAAGTAATTGTAGCACAAAGTGCATTTGCAACGGACAGATAAAAAAGAGGGTTTGAAAAATGTCACACATGGCTCCTGACGCATCGAACTGTTACTACACAGATACTGCTGGTACAGTTTGTGATATAGAATTGAGAAAAGAGCTTGAATGGGCATCAGAATGAAACTAGGATTCCCCAGCTTCAGTGACTTAAAGAAAACCGGAGAATTATCGAAATGATGCAGAGCAACACTTAGCATGAGAAATATCTTGCACTATGGATGCTGCTGTGCGAGCACTTTGCCACAGAGCGTGCAATTTGAAGGCATTGTGAGACACCCGATGAGAAACAAAACATTTCGGACTGGGCATATGGAAGGCCAGGGTTTTTCCTATGCCAGAAAGGACTACAAGCTCCATTTTCATGCGGTTCCTTGACTTCCTCATTTTCGTTTGATGTTTGGGCGAATAAATGTAATTGGAACCATCTGCAGTAGATGGTAAAGACCTTCAAAACCAT